GCAGCGCCATATACTATATGGGCTCCAGTTCAAGTCCTGGCTGCTCCACTTCTTCCAGCTTCCTGCTAATGCTCCTAGGGAAGGAGTGGAGGATGACCCAAGTGCTTGGGACTCTGCACCCACATGGGAGGCCCAGATGAAGCTCCTAGAACCTGGCCTCCGCCTGGCCCAGCACTGGCTATTGTGACCATTTCGGGGAGTGAATCAGTGGATGGAAGATTCTCCCCTTCCCCCATCCCCCTGCCCCTCCCCCTCTTCTTCCTTTCCCTCTCTTTCTTTATAACGCTGCCTTTCATATAAATAAATAAACAAATATTTAAAAAAGAAGAGAAAAACTAGGTACTAAGCAATCTTTAAAAATACAGCTGGGGATAACTTTAACACAAAAATACTAATGGGCTTCTGTGTGTGTTTAGATAAAGCTCAGCACATTCTATCAATTGTCTGAACTTACATTAAGAAATACAGTGAACAAAACTGTTTAGAGGACTCCATATTTGATTCTCTGTAAATAAAACAAATGCATTCTCTAATTTATGTAAATGTTCATTGTAAAACACATGATCTGAAGGCATGAATGCTCCTGAGCTTGACTTTGATGCCTCTAATAAACTCCCTGCTCTGTGGAGGGAGCTCAAGTCTCTGAGCTATGTCTCTATATTTCCATGAAATTGTTCTCCACCCATTCCTGTGGGTTAGCCATCAAAATGAAAATCTCCATAAAAGGTTACTTTAAAATTTACAATACAAATATCAAAATGCCCACAGCCTTCTAGCAATGAGCCTCTTAGGAAGTCTTAGGCTTATAGTATGCTGACAGAGAGAGAGAGAGAAAAGAGAAGAGAAGAGAAGAGAAGAGAAGAGAAGAGAAGAGAAGAGAAGAGAAGAGAGAAAATAAATAAATCAAAGAGAAAAAATAAAAGAAAAAAGGTTAACAGAATATGTCAAGCTAAGTCTATAGCTCTATAGAAGGATATCATTTTGTTTTTAAAGGCAGTCAAGTTTATGATTGCTCCTTTATTTTACATATTTTCCACACTTCACTAAGCTTTTATTAAACTAGTGATTCCAATAGTGCATGTAAAACTCAAATTTCTGTACACATAGAAAGGCCATGGAATAGTCTCTTAATGTGTTATGGTGGAAAAAACAGCACTGCAAAGACAGATGTTTATGATTATCTTTTTCTAGAGAACGTGTGTTTCTGAGAATGCCATGTGCAGGGAGAGAGTCTCAGCATACAAAATGGCTTGATTTCTCTTTCTAGGCAAGGATTGTTTATTTGATAATCTTAATGTATTTTTATATTCAAACAATAGGATTTTTTAAGAATTAAGTCTATCTTATCAAGCAGATACTTTTGCCAGGATAACCACAATAATAAGTTGCTGAATTGTTGGCCAAACTAAGAAATTCTTAAGCACTTGTGTATAGGTTTTTTTTTTTTTTTTTTTAATTTTCAAGCCTTCAAATTAAACACATAAATACAAAGTCAGGATACATAAACCAATAGCTAGATGAATTTGTGTGCTATCTTTTCTTTTTTTTTCTTTTTTTTTTTTTTTTTTTTTTTTTTTTTTTTTGACAGGCAGAGTGGACAGTGAGAGAGAGAGACAGAGAGAAAGGTCTTCCTTTTCCATTGGTTCACCCCACAATGGCCACTGTGGATGGTGCACCAAGGCCGGCGCACTGCGCTGATCCGAAGCCAGGAGCCAGGTGCTTCTCCTGGTCTCCCATGCGGGTGCAGGGCTCAAGGACTTGGGCCATCCTCCACTGCACTCCCAGGCCACAGCAGAGAGGTAGACTGGAAGAGGGGCCACCGGGACAGAATCTGGTACCCCGACCGGGACTAGAACCCGGTGTGCTGGCGCTGCAGGCAGAGGATTAGCCTATTGAGCCACGGCGCTGGCCTGTGTACTATCTTTTTAAAATAAAAAGCATGAAGCAAATCATTATTAGACTGGTAAAGGGTTTGGTGGCTCATCGGTTCCCTATGAGTAAGTCTCAGTCTCTATGAGGAAGATCAACCTAGGTGGCTGGATTTGGCACTAAGTATTTAGTCTGCAGGTTTTTAATAAAGACTGTAACTTCATTTTTGATGTTTGCTGAAAGATTTGAAAGACTACCACTTCCTTGTCTCGTGTTCCTACACAACTTAGCACCCTGATAAGAAAACCCATGTGCTCCCTCCATTAATACCTTTTGGAGGTACAAATCTTGCTGTATCTGCCCATGTGAGATCTGAACTCATTCTAGTCCCACCCCCCAAAACTGTCAAGCATCAAACCAGTCTTTCCTCTCTCCCTTTCTCAGTCTGGTTGAGAGATCACCACGTTCTACCCTGTAATTCCCATTCTATGAATAATAAGAACCTTCACAGTTGGGGGTTTGGGGTAGTGATTAAGTAGATGATGGGATGTCCAATCCCATTGTAATGATTGGTTCAAGTCCTAGCTGGTCTGCTTCTCATTTGGCATCCTGCCAATGTACACTGTGAGGTAGCAGCTGATGGATTAAAAGTTTGGGTCCTGCCACCCGTTTGGGAAATCTCTACTGAATTCTGGGTTCCTGAATTCAACCTGGCCATCTCTACCTGTTTCAGGCATTTGGGTAAAGAAGCAGAGGATGGAAGCTCTCTCTGTCTCTGTCTCTGTCTTCTTCTAAATTTCTCTCTTACTCTCATCCTTTGCTTTTCAAAGAAAATGAAAATATATAAGCTGGCGCCCGCCGCAGCTCAGTAAGCTAATCCTCCGCCTTATGGCACCGGCACACCGGGTTCTAGTCCCGGTCGGGGCGCCGGATTCTATCCAGGTTGCCCCTCTTCCAGGCCAGCTCTCTCCTGTGTCCAGGGAGTGCAGTGGAGGATGGCCCAAGTGCTTGGGCCCTGCACCCCATGGGAGACCAGGAGAAGCACCTGGCTCCTGCCATCGGATAAGAGCGGTGCGCCGGCCGCAGCGCGCCGGCCGTGTTGGCCATTGGAGGGTGAACCAACGGCAAAAAGGAAGACCTTTCTCTCTGTCTCTCTCTCTCACTGTCCACTCTGCCTGTCAAAAAAATAAAAAAATAAAATATATAAGTAAATAAATAAATTAATCTACAAAAAAAACCTTTTAATCCTCTTTTATAAATATATGATGTCATCAGTCTCCATAGCCCATAGCTAAACCAAACGTGTGTGTGTGTGTGTGTGTGTGTGTTCAGATTGCATATGTCCCTCCTCTGTGGGGTGAGCACAGGAATGCTGAATTATACATTTTATCCTAGATTTGGAAACCAAACTGCATAACTGAAATGTATCTCCCTATTTCCTTTTCTGAAAGAGAAAAATGGTGCTTAGTAAACTTGGCCAAACTCAGAAACTTGATGACAAAGAGGGGCATATATTTCAAAGTTTTTACACAAAGAAAATTTATCTTTTAATTCCACCTTCCTCATATTATTTGAAGCACTTTCATATATTTTCATGTTTATACTCTGAGGACGAAATTATACATTTGAAAATAGGTTCAAATCCCTGTGAGCATTAAAGTTTTTAATCTCCCACTACACCTTAGATTATACATTTTGCCGAATTTTGTTATGCTTATTTACCTTAAAAGTTCTGTGATAGCCTCTGTTTCTTGATTCCACATATAAGATTTTACCATTTTTCAGATTGTATATAACATGCTCATGCATATATGGAGATAGATAGATATTACTACACCACGACTTTAAAGTCTATTTTTTTCTATTTTGAAGATTATCAGCTGAAATCCACTAGTCTCATTGTACATCCCTGATTTAATATGTACCATTAGATTCAGCCACAATGCTTTGTTGCATTTGTCCTTGTACATTTCCCTGGTAACCTCGCTCTCCTCACCAGATAGTAGGCTACTTTAGAACAATTACTGAGTATTTCTTTGATTTACCCTGCTCATTTTGGATGTGAATTAAGTGTTGTTATATCTTTTAGATGCTTTGAAAGAAACAGTAGTTCATTAATCTAGAAATTATTTTAACTGGATGCCCTCTTTAATACATCCAAATATTAGAAAGAGAGTAATAACAGGCTTATTTCTGCTTCCCAAACCCATGCCTACTATGAAACCCTCTGATATTTATATGAAGCAAGAAAACATGGATTGAAAATTAACAATATCATTCCAATCAAAGGCTATTAAATTTCCCACCAAGAATGAGATTCCATGATTCATAAAAGGACAGAATATAATTGTAATGTAACATTTCAAATAAGGGTTCAGAAACTTGTCATCTGTAGAGTAGATCAGCATGATTGAATCATTTTGAAATGATGTGATAGATCATAATTGTCTAATGGCATAACATAACAAACAATATAAAGAATTTCTTATCTATAACTATTTCAAGTTTATATTTTCCCTTTGTATTCATAGCATACAGAATATTCTCACATGTTATTGCAACTGCAAGCTTAAAAATGCATATAGAAATATAGATGCAGTCAAGAAACATCAGGACAGATATCTTGACAAAAAGTGCATTATGAAACAATATAAAATATGTTAAATAGCTTAAAATTGGGTTGTCTTCAAACTTCAGTATTGAATTCACAGCAATCCTGAGGCAGTTGCATTATAGTACATCAGCAGCTCATGTTGTGATAAGGAAAGTTGAGATTATGTGGGCTTGGCTAGGATAGAAACATGCCCCAAATCTATGTGACTAGAGCTAAAATATTGATTCCTATCTGAGACAATATGGAACACAAATGAAGTCAGAATCTTTGGGGGAAATGCAGAAATCAAGAAGTCTACTGTCATGTCTGAGATCTGAGATGAGAACTCAGATCAGAAACAAATGGGGAAGATTAAGAGCAAACATCACAATTAATCATTGTTCAATTTGGGCTAGTGTTTGTATAGCTGTTAATAGGCTTGGAATGGCTTGATATGCAAATGAATGCGAGTTGTATTGTAATAAAGTGTCATGTTTGGATAGACTTTCCTAAATCCAGCTGTGTCCTCTGTTACCAGGGAAGTGTGGACCCTTTCCTGTTGCCAGGAGACCACCTGAACCTCCATTACTGCTACAAAGAAACTCAAGACCTCTGGACAACACAAAGCTGTGAATGGTGTTTTACTATTACTGTACCACAGGATGATAAACACTGCTTTTATGCCATGAGCTTGTTCTTTCTGCAATTCATTAAAGAAGTCTGTCTGCCTTAGTTGTAGTGACCTTTTTCCTCTCCCATAATGCAGTCATCACAAAATTCATATAGAAAGATGTCAGCAATTTGATATGCTTCTTAATTGGCTAATCTTCCCCTTTCTAAGGCATATTTAAAATCATTCTTGTTTTCTGTTATCTCTGTCACACTATAACCTCACATTAACCAAGAGGTTGTTATAATAGTTTAGTGACATCAATTCCATATGTAAGTCATGACATGGCTATAAAATAGATACATTATGCTTTAATGTAGAAATTAATTGATTTTAGAACCTTTCTGCTTCATTCTTGTTTACATAATGAGTCTGATAACAAAGGAAGAAGAAGCTCATAAAAATTTAAGTAGTTTGTTTCAATCAAGTCAAATAGAATAGGAATAGTTAAATAGATTTTTAAAAAATTTTGTTTATAAAAGATCAACAAATTTCATGTATTTCATTTACACAGATTTAGAAGCACAGTGATACTTCCCACCCTACTACCCTCCCTCCAACCCATACCTGTACACTGCCTCCTCCTTCCGTTTTTATTCTTTATTTTACTTTTTTTTTTAAAAAAATATTATTTATTTGAAAGGCAAAGTTACACAGAGAGGGGGAGAGGGGAAGAGGGAGAGAAAGAGAGAGAGAGAGAGAAAGAGAGAGAGAGAGAGATCTTGCATCTGCTGGTTCACTTTCCAAATGCCCGCAATGGCCAGATCTGGGCCAGGCTGAAGCCAGGAGCTTCATTCTGGTCTACTACTCGGGCGCATAGGCTCAAGCACTTGGGTCATCTTCCACTGTTTATCCCAGGCCATCAGCAGGGAGGTAAATTGGAAATGGAGTAGCCACGACAGGAATCAGTGCCCATGTGGATGTTAATGCTGCAGACACATGCTTTCCATTTATTTCATAATCAGAAGATTAATCCTCCACTAGGTGAAGAAATAAATACTGTTCTACAATTGTAGGTCAAGAGCTATGAATAATAATCAATAATCACATTCTTCTTAAAAATACTTTTTCTAAATCAGATGTTCATGATTAAAAAATGATTCAGTAAATACTTCTGATGCTTTTTTAATTTTTTAAAAAACTTTTATTTAATAAAAATAAATTTTGAAAATATAACTTTTGGATTATAGCATTTTCCCCCCATAACCACCCTCCCACCCACAAACCATGTCATCTCCTACTCCCTCTCCCATCCCATTCTTAAGATTCATTTATAATTATTTTTGTATACAGAACATCAACTTATTATATATTAAGTAAAGATTTCAACAGATTGTACCCACACAGACACACAAAGTATAAAGTACTTCTTGAATACTAGTTTTACAGTTAATTCACTTAGTACAGCACATTAAAGACAAAGATCCTTCACGGGAAAATAAGTGCACAGTGACTCTTGTTGATTTAACGATTGACACTCTTATTTATGACATCAGTGATCACCCAAGGCTCTTGTCATGAGCTGCCAAGGCTATGGAAGCCTCTTGTGTTCACAAATCACAACCTTATTTAGACAAGGCCATGGTCAAAGTGGAAGTTCTCTCCTCCCTTCAGAGAAAGGTACCTCCTTCTTTGATGGCCTGTCATTTACACTGGGATCTCACTCACAGAGATCCTTAATTTAGGTCATTTTTTGCCAGAGTGTCTTGGCTTTCCATGCCTGAGAAACTCTCATGGGCTTTTTAGCCAGATCCAAATGACTTAAGGGCTGATTCTGAGGCCAGAGTGCTGTTTAAGGCATTTACCATTCTATGAGTCTGCTGTGTATTCCACTTCCCATGTTGGGTTGTTTTCCCCTTTTGAATTCTATCAGTTATTATTAGTGGACACTGGTCTTATTTATGGGATCCCTTTGAGACTTAATCCTATCTTTATGATCAATTATGATGTTTTTTTACTTTGAATTTCCTTTCCTCAAATACATGAAATGTTATTAATAGCTAATTTAAAATAACTGAAAATACTTATTTACACATATTAAAAACTCACTATGATGAAAGTATAAAGTTTGAAATATCATTGATGAATTTGACAGAAGCCATGACATTATTAAAGGCCTCCTTTGGATATGCTTGTTAGAAAGTGCCAGAGGTGTTTTCACCATCATCTGTAGGCTGTCCCATTTGGCAGGCCTTGAGAGAAGATCAGTGTAAATACAAAGAAAAAAAAAAAAAAAACAGAAAACAGCTCAAACAATGACATTCATAATGATGGCTGCATCTAGGTATGACTGTTTTTTTCACCAGCTTTTGTGATGCTCCTTCAATAATTTCCTAAAATGTGATGACAACAGCAAAACAGCCTGAGATAATTTATTAAGCAGGATAAATGTATCTGTGTATTTTCCTTGGACATTTCAGTTGATCTTGAGTGGCTAAGTGCCCTGTCATTTTCTCCTCTCCCACTACCAGGTCTCAGAGACTCATTTCTCTCTGCATCATTTTGTTAATGGCTTTCTTAGTGACAGTCATCTGATATCAAAGGCCTTTTGGAAAATGGTCTAAACTTGGCAATAAAAGACTATGATCTGAGTCCCATTTTTCCTATCTGATTATATGAACTGAATTTTCTTAATTTTAAAACACAATAATACCTAAGTTCTGGTGAACATGTAATGAAATTAAGCAGGCTGCATTTCATAGTTTGGCTAGGAAAATGTGCCAAGCTTTTCTCTGAATTAAATGAGCACCCTAGAAGCCAGAAAACTCTGTAAATAGTAATTCCTGCTAGAGTATGTTTTAGCATCAATCACACCTTTGAGTAGATAACAGTAGCTTAAATCATTTCATCTGTTTCTCTGTTCATGTGTGGGATAACATATTTGTGTTTCTCCAATATCCATTGCTATAACAAAATAACTGAGGCACGGTGAGTTATAAAGTGAAGAGGTGTATTTATCTGACAGTTTGGGAAAGTGAAAAGTCCGATTTTGAGTACTCATTTTTTTCCCTTCTGCTGAGGACCTAATGGTGAATGACAGCATGGCACAAGCGTGTTTGTGAAGGGGAGAGATCACATCGTCACAAGGAAGACCAGAGAGAGGAAAGGGTTCAGTCTTGTTCTTTTTACAACTCACTCTCCTAGGAGCTAACTCATTGCTCCGTTTACAACAGCTCATTCTAATACTAACTTGCTCTGTAAGACCAGCATTAATCTCTAAATGACCCATTTACCTTTCACTGAGACCCATCTGTTAAAGGTTCCTCTATTCCTCAACATCACCACTGTAAGTATCAATCTTTCCAGCCGTGATTACACATTGAAACCATATCCATACCATAGCATCAGGGCTGGAAAAACTTTATACAATGTCGAAAAGCCAGGATCTATTTATTTATTTATTTATTTATTTTTTGCAGCAAATATGTTCTCCCTTTAAATGGCAACTTGTGGTCCATGATGGCTTCACTGAGCCCAAGTAAGTGTGTATTATATATAGCAGGAGGATGGAAAGAGATTAAAAAGGAAATCTTTATAAACACCTAGAAAATGTGTACACCAAATCCATGTCATTAGCTAAATGACCCCAAATTCATGTCATTAGCTAAATCAAAATCAAATCTGCAAGGTAGCTAGGTGATCATGTTGGAAATAAATATGCTACCATTGATATAGGAAGGCCATGAAACACAAACTTAACTATAAGAAGGCTAAAATTATGTTATGCCACATTTACATGTTAGATTTCATTTTAATCACATAGCATTGACAAGGCATTTGCTAGTATCTTTGTATTCGGATGTGACCTGTGCTGCTTCTTAAAGGCAACACATCTTTGCAAGCTTCTGCATTCTGAACAGCTCGAGGTCAAGTCACTTTCACGTATTTTAAGAAAAAAAAAGGGACAATTACAGAAATACTTTGATCAGGAATAGATTATTTAATTTACTAGATCTCCTTCTCTTTCAACACGGTTGAACATCAGAATAAGGCATCTGCCCTTGTTTTTTCCTCAAAAATACAAAATTCTGACCTATATTAAAGCTTTTAGGTTGCCAGACAGAAAGTCTTTGGAAGCTGACAACAAAGGAACCCTTTTGTCTTCACTAAAATAAGCCCCAGCTGAGTAGTTGTATGATAAAAGGAATCTGCCCACTCCTGAGGTGGACTCTGGCAGAAAAGCCTTTCTCTGCCCTGCTCAAGTCATGTTAACAAGAGTTCCAGCCTAGACCTAGTAGATAGAGAATCTTGATCTAGTAACATAATACACTTTAATTTCCTTTTGAGACAGATTTTTTTTTTCAAACTTGGGATAGAAATAAGAGAAATGAAACCACAAGCTGTCCACTATTCAGTCAATTAATTTGTTTATAGGATTTATGCTCAGTCTACTTCCAAAGGCTTTGAGGTAGTTTAGTATTCAGCACGCTATTGTACCTCTGCCAAGAGTGGTTTCTGGCTGAGTGTCAAGGACAGTTTCACATCTCAGAAAGAGTTCATTGTGGATAAACTGAAGGTATAACACTTGCAATATGAGCCCCTCTATGTCAAAATAAAAACATCCCATCATTTCCATGACAACATGTGGATTCTTCCACCCCAGTATCCTACCAGGGAAAGTAATTATAACCTACAGGCAAAAAGACTCCTGATTGTGCAGACCTGAAAGTATATTATGCACAAATGCTGAGTGTATAGCACAATAACTGAATCCCTGTGGAGAATTTTTATAGTGAATGGCTGTTTGTATTATTTCCTTTTAACTCATTGAGGTTAGGGTATCTGTCTTCTTACTCATTTTTGTATCTTGCCAAATATAAGCCTACCATGTCATCTCTCTCTTATTTTTCATAACCATTATATATATATATACTTTTCTGTCCTTATCCAAATTTTGCTCTCTCAAAAACGATTACATCTCTTTGTTTCAGTTTCCTAATTCAAATATATCTCTTTGTTTTTCCCCCTCTCTCTGTAACTCTGATTTTCTAATCAATAAAAATAAAAACCTTTTAAAAAATAGGGTGAAATCTTCTAATGTGAAGTGAAACAA